GAGAAATGTGTCCTGTTTGCAGTCTTCCATGTTTCTACCTCCTCTCGAGGGTCTCAGGCCAGAGAAGTGAAGACATCATCCAAGGAGTCTGTTATTGGTAGATGACACCTCAGACAAAGATTGTGAAGGATGAGAATGTGTGACCCCAGAACCTGTTTTCAAGCTGTGGGATCATCCATCAGTGACGACTTGCCCCAATGACCACACTTCTGAAAATCAGCTCACCAGCAACTGACACACAATCAGCCACCACTCTCAAACAGAATATAAACACGCTCGACTCTGAAAACCCCCCATTCCCTGACACTGTGTTTCTCAAAAACCTACAACAGGTCACTTCTATTTTGCTCAAGGAGATTGTGTCTTACAAGCTCCCCAGGGCTTAAGCACAAAATAGGTTCAGCTTTCCATCTCAGCCTCTGAGCAGTGCTGTCCTCCTTCAACAAGGGATTTGGGCAATCAAAAGAGGTCTCAGAATCCGTGTCTCTCAGTAGAGCCTGGCAGATGCTGCAGAAGCCTGGAAAGTCTGCCCACAGAAATCCTGCCCCAGTGCACTTGTAAACATAATGTTGTCCCTGCCTTTACTGATAACTTTAGAATTGCTGGTTATCTTATTAACTGACTTGTTTCTAGCTAACTATTTGAGCTGTAAGGTAAGATGTTAACAACTTGACTTTTATGACAAGCCTCCCCACCCTGCTAGGAGTGGGCCTAGGATGCTGCTCCAGGGCTTGGGCCCTTGGTTCTGAAAGGTGAGCTATGCCATAGGGAGGGATCTGGGATCTGAGAGTCTCAGGCACAGCTACAGGAGGACTCAGCCCTCAACTCCTTGTGGGAAAAACTAGAAGGAGAATCATCCTGAAGCTCTGGGCAAGAGGTCAGTGGAGAGAGGGGAGGCAGGGATAGGGGAGAGTTTGGACGATGTCCCTGGGAAAGAGACCCCAGGAAAGTGGGCCATGGTGTCTCTGGGCCAAGGCCATAAGCAGGCAAGCAGGAGGAGCCCAGAGACACTGCCTACCCCAGAGGAAGCAGTGAGTGCTTCCAGGATGCCTGGCTGGGTCCCCAGACCTCAGAAAGCCCTATCCATAAAGATGCTTCATGAGGCTGGCCTCCTAGGGTGTTTCTCCTCCCCTTTCAGAAAGCTGGTCTCCCATTGTCCCCTGAGAGAAAGAGAGCAACCAAGACACCCCTTGTAAGCCCCCATTAGATGCTGGCCACTCCCTCCCAGTGTCCCCTCTAAACCTCCATCATAGCACCCAGGGTGCTATATATCCTTTCCCAGTCCACAAATGGAATGGTTCAGAGCATGGCGTGGGGAGCCAGATGGCCTGGGTTCAAATACCAGCCCATCTTCTTACCAGCTGCCTGACTTTCGGCAGCTTACTTAACCGCAGCCTGCCTCAGTTTCCCCATCTGTAAAATGGAGCTAATGATGGTCCTGTCACAGGGAGTTATGGAACAGACTGAACGACAGCTATAAGGAAAGGGTTTTGAGAACAGGGCCTGTGCAGCGCATCCTCGGTTATCTCTGTGTTGGTGTTAGCTGTTGAGATTAGGGTAATTTATGCCAATCTACCTCTGTCCAGACTGTGGACTTTGCACTGTCAGGGACCCCACCTGATTTCCACCTGTCCCAAGTGCCTGGTGGGGTGTCTGGTGCAGAGCATAGACCCTGCCAGCTGAATGGATGGGTAGGCCTGGCAACTTACAGTGTTCAGGGACCCTACAGAGCCCTGAAGCTGGCATCCAGATTCCTTAGCCTGACACGTAAGGCCTTCTGTGGTTGGGCTTTGACAACCTGCCCAGATGCATGACCTTCTCTTTCCCCAGCAGCTACCCCAGCTCACCACTCACACCTCTCTGCCGGCCTTGGTATACCTGTATTTACCTCCCTCCCACAAGTCACTTTTCTTGTCTTCTCTCTCTCTCTAAGATTTTATTTATTTATTTGAGAGAGAGAGAGAGCCTGAGCAGGGGGGAGGGGCAGAGGGAGGAGCAAACGCCCCGCTGAGCAGGGAGCCTGATGCGGGACTCCATCCCAGGACCCTGAGACCATGACCTGAGCTGAAGGCAGACTGAGCCATGCAGACACCCCACTTTTCTTTTCTAAGATTTATTTTAGAGAGAGAATACATGAGTGGGTGGGTGGGGGTCAGGAGGGAGAGGCGGAGGGAAAGGGAGAGAGAAATCCTCAAGCAGACTCTGTGCTGAGCAGAGCCCAATGCAGGGCTCTATCCCAGCACCCTGATGTCATGATCTGAGCTGAAATCAAGAGCAGGTAGCTTAACCAACTGAGCCACCCAGGTGCCCCCACAAGACTGCTTTTCGGGGCACCTGGGTGGCTCAGTGGGTTAAAGCCTCTGCCTTCGGTCCTGGGATCAAGCTCCACATCAGGCTCTCTGCTCCGCAGGGAGCCTGCTTCCTACCCTCTCTCTCTCTGTCTGCCTCTCTGCCTACTTGTGATCTCTCTCTGTCAAATAAATAAAATCTTAAAAAAAAAAAAAAAAGACTGCTTTTCATCCTACCTTCATCTTCTTTACCCTTTCTGTCGAGACTGGGGTCAACTGTTACCACCTCTGAGAGACTTTCCACTACCTGTCCCCTCCCCCTGCTCAGGGTCCAAGTTTTACCTGTGGTGTGGGTGTGTGTCCGAGCCCCACCAGAAAAGCTCTCCTTATCACAAACGTTTTGTAACAACCTTTCTGTCCTTAAGGGTGTCTGAGTGGCTTGGTCAGTAAGTGGCTGCCTTCAGCTCAGGTCATGATCCCAGTGTCCTCGGATTGAGCCCTGCATTGGGCTCCCTGCTCAGCAGGAAGTCTGCTTCTCCCTCTCCCACTCCCCCTGCTTGTGTTCCTTCTCCTGCTGTGTCTCTCTCTGTCAAATAAATAAAATCTTTAATAAAGGGGGGGAATCCAAAGATAATTTAACCTATTTTAATTCCATAGAATTAACAATTAAAATCAACATAATGCCCTAATTGTAACAAAAAATATTCACAATTAAATTATAATATAATCATAATGTAAGGTCCCCCAATAATGGGTCCGTGATTAAAGGAGCGAGACTGATACAAAGTGAAGGTCAAGCAAAGCTTTATTTTGCGCCAAGCATCAAGAATCAAACCGAACGTTCAGAGCCTCTTACAGAGAGGGTGATCCCTCTCTGCTTCACAGACTAGCTTTTAAGGGCAAAGGCCATGTGGTTGGGCCTGACCATGCACAGGTGGCCAATGAAATTGTAACACACAGAGAAAACTGCACAGTCATGTTAGGTCGCATGTAAGTGACCAATTGAATTACAATTTACCCTAGTAGACATTTGAACCAGCCTATCACCTTGGTCAGAATTGGCGCCCAAAAGGTGCCCAAAGGGTGGGGCCCATACTCCTTGGTAACCAGGGAGACAGTATGTGCCCCCCTCTGATCGGGGCACCAAGACTGGTTTCTGGGACACGTTTTTAAGTAAGTCCCCTGGGGGAAGGGGGGCAGGGACAGTTTAAGTTTTAAACAACAAAGTTATTGTTTAACCGGATGGAAGAACTCTGGCTAAATAGGTCCTTACAATAACATATGTCTCAATATGTAAATGTTTGGCTTGACTATATAGAAAACGTAATGATTAGTCAGACACCTGAATATGCAAAACGTCTATAAATACAACTACAAATGCCACATTCAGTGCAAAAACCGGGACAAGTAGGTCACCCTGCTTTATACCTCGAAACAAACCAAAACTAACTGGATTGTTCAGTTTGGTTTGGCCCCCCAAAATAAACCTGGATTGCCTAGAAAAATAACTTTCTCCTTGATGTTTGCAATGCTTATCTGCAGATATGTTACAACCTTTGTGACTATAACAATCATATCACAATGCAAACACTAATTTCACACGTTTTTTCCTTTAAATATTTTTATTTGATGAACCAGACTTTTTGATGCCCACCTTCCCTGCAACTCTGATCTTTGACATTAAAAACGCGAGGCGTGGGCTCTAGACCCGATCACACAATCTGGCTTCTTCCGTGGCGAAGGCCTGACAAGACTCCATGGTCAGCTTGGCCCCAGGACCGGGGAGCGCTAGACTCGCGGCATTCTCGGCCCCGCCCTCTGACAGGCGAAGGGCTCCCCAACCCACCCCACTAAGGGCTGCCCAAGTCCTCCCCATGAATTTTCAAGTATCAGAAAACCCCCAGGTGAAAACTACTATCCAAAACATGAGGTTTCCTGGTGAGAATTCAGGGGTCTGTGAACCTGGATGGAAAAATAACCTTTATTTTCTCCAACCTCTAGCAGAGATTGAGCCGTTCTTCCCCCCGTGAACGGGGGTAGCAAAGCTCGGCAGTATTAGCAAGACCTGCGCTTCCGTCCCCAGTGGAAACCACAGGTGTTTCCGAATCACATGATGGTTGTTGCAGACGCCTGCAGGGCAGAGCGGGCCGGAGCCGAGCCGAGCCGAGCGGAGCCGAGCGGGAGCCAGAGCCAAGCCAAGCGGGGCGGGGCAGAGCGGAACCGGAGCCCCGTGGAGCGGAGAGGGGTGGGATAGCCCGAGCAGAGTCGGAGCCGAGCCGGGAGAGGCGTAGCCGAGTGGAGCCGGAGCCTAGCTGAGCCGAGCCAGGCCGAGCGGGGCGTGGCAGAGCGGAGCCAGAGCCGAGCAGGGCGGAGAGGGGCGGGGCGGGGCATCCCAAGCGGAGTCGGAGCCGAGCCGGGCGAGGCGGGGCAGAGCGGAGCCGGAGCCGAACCGAGCCGAACCGAGCCGAGCCAAGCGGGGCGGGGCAGAGCGGAGCCAGAGCCGAGCGCCGAGGAGCGGGGCGGGACGGGGCGGAGTCGGATCCCCGCGGAGCGGAGAGGGGCGGGGCGGAGCAGCCCAATTGCGGTCGGAGCTGAGCCTGGGCCTAGCAGAGCGGTGCGGGGCAGAGTGCAGCCCGGACCCAGCGGGGTCCGCTGAGGTCCGCGGGCACCCGGTTACGGACCCGCGCGCTAGCTCTCTGGGCTTAGCGCCAGCACCCCCCTCCCCTCACAGCTGAGGACCGACTCTGGGGGAATCGACGCCCGGGGGCTGCTCGCCAGGCTGGCTGACCCGGGCTCGCGGGTCCTCGGGGGCGCGCGCGCCTGGATGCCGCCGCGGACGATGCTGCTCTTCCTGCAGCTGTGGCGTCTAGTGCCGGAGAGCGCGGCAGGTGATGGGGCGGAGAGGCGGGGGCCCTGCGGCGGAACTCCTGCGGCGGAACCCCTGCGGCGGAACCCCAGGGGACGCCCGGCAGGGCGCGGTTGGGGCGATCGGAGGCCACTTCCCGGTTTGGGGAGCGGGGCGGGTGAGATTCGACCCAGGCCCGCAGGTGGCGTGGAGCCCTGGGTTAGAGCCCCCGTTTGGGGCTTCCCACTGTGGCACCCGCGTCTGGCTTAGAGCCCTGCGGGAAGCCGGCGGGACGCGGAGGGCTGGCGGTGACGCCGGCCAGGAAGCGGCCGGTGCCGTAGCTTCTTGGGGGTCCCCGTGGGAACCCCCGTTGGACGCCGCTCGGTTCCTGGGGCTGGGTCCTCCCGGGAGGCCCTGGGGAACTCCGTGGGGGCAGGAATCAGAGCAGCAGGCACGTCCCCTGCCAGCTAGCTCGGGCAGGCTCCCGCCCTTCACGATGGGTGTCCCTGGAGGCTTGACGAGGCGGTCTCAGGTTACCAGGGCGTCCCCTGCGGTGGGTGTGTGTTGGGGTGGGAGGGGGGAACCGGTGCAACGAGGGTTTCTCTGACCTGGCTCGGAATTTCCATTCTTTCCCAGTTTTAATTCTTCTGACATTGCTACCCGAGCCTGACCTCATCCTGGATTTCCCCACCGCTGCCCTGGGGCCTCGCCCCCTCCTCTGCCACACAGATGCTGGAAGGCTTATCAGCACAGACGGGGAAGTGTCCACTATCACAGTAATACCAAGAGGGGGTCACCCTCAGGCCCAACTCTTTGAAGTGCTTCACATACAAGAAGCCATTTCAACTCACAAAGCAGTCCTCGTTTTAATATTTACAAGTTTAAACTAGGGCCCCGGGAGGACGCTTCTGGCAGGATCTAAAGTCGGAGTTCTGAACCTTTTTTATGCCTTGGACCAGGTCTCAGAATGTTTTTAATGCATAAAATGAAATACATGGCGGGGGGGGGGCGCCTGAGTTGTTAAGTTAGTTAAGCTTGGGAGTCTTGATGTCCACTCTTGATTTCGGCTCAGGTCATGATCTCAGGGTCCTGAGATGGAGCCCCCATAAGACTCCCCAGGAGTGTGAGGTGGAGCCTGCTTCAGATTCTCACTCTCCAGCTCTCTCTGCCCCTTCCCTTCTAGCGTCCTGTCTAAATAAACAAACATGAATAAGTAAATAGAAATACATAGGCTTACAAAGGAATCTAATTATGTTTCTATAAAGCTATTAAAAATTTTTAATGTAGTAGTTAATAGAATTTAACTAGAAATATAAATGTGTGAGGTGTAGTATGTGTGCTACTAAGTTAACACCTTAAGTAATAGCCCCAAATAGCAACAATTCCAGAACTGGGAACCAGTGAGGGCAGAGCTTATGTCCAGGTGTCTGCAATGACTGTCATGTGATTCAGAAGCACCTGTGGCTTCTGTCCAAATCCAAAGCACGGGTCCTGCTAATCCCGCACAGCTTTGTTGCCTTCACCATAGGAGAAAGGCTAAGTTTCAGCCAGAGTTTTGAAAGTAAAGAGGTTCTTTATTCCCTCCAAGCCGAGGCTCCTGAACTCAACAGGACGGACACACAGGAGGATTCAGCCCTCAGCGACCCATGGAAAACATTTGAAAGAGAATCACCTTGGATGTCTGGAAAGATTGAGGGAGAGTTCGGTCCTTGGAACAGGACCCCAGGGGCATGGGCCACTGTGTCTCTGGGTCAAGACTGTGTTGGTTTCCAGGTTCACACAGTACCCCCAACTCTCCCTGGGTGTAATATAGGGGCATATAGGTGATTCCAATTCTGTGTGGCAGAGGTGGTCACGGGTGTTTGCACATAGACCCTGTCTTATGGAGGGATTGACCGGGGCTGACCTAAGGAGTCGGGACCCCAAGCCAAGGAGGAGGAGAGAAGGAGGGGAGAGATAACCCCAGGATATACTAAACCATAGGAGAGAGATGGCACATGGAGGGGACGTAGCCAGGAGAAGCCCCCCTCACAACATTCCTGGGTACCCAGCTTTCACTTCCGAAGTTAGGGATGGGGAAGTGGCTTTCATGGAACAGGTATCATGAGTGCTACAGCAGGGAAGTTTGAAGTGGCTCAACCTTTAGAATCACCCAGAGGGCTTGTTGAACTACAGAAAGCTGGACCCCCCTCACCCCCAGCCAGAGTTTCAGATTCAGTAGGGCTAGGTTGGGTCCTGCAGATTTGCATTTCTAGCAAGTTCCCAGGTGGCACTGAGGCAGGTGGTCCTGTAACCACACTAGATTGATTAGCCTAGAATGTTCTTCCCTCCTTACCGAGCCCACTGCCTCGTAACTCACAGCTGGTGTGGTCCCCTCCAGGTTTCAGCTTAGAAGGCCCCTGACCCCAACACCTTCCCAACCCAAGGTATTCCTGGTGCCTGGGACTTCCTGCGGCATGGCACTCATCAGCCCTGCTCAGCTTATTGGTCCTACTTCTTTGTTCAGTTGTGTCCTCCTTGTCAGACCTGAGCTTTTTCAGGCCTGTGACGGTCTTGGTTTATCTCTGTCCTCACATCCACCCCCCACCTAGTTCAGTGCCTGGCTTGTAATAGGTGCTCACCAGCTGTTTGCCACATGGGTAATGCAAGAACACAGCTGAGCAAGTGGACAAAGCTGGGCAGGACCAAGCAGAATGTCCAGGAGGGGCTGGAACAGCTGGGTGGGGAACCTTTGGCAGAGGTAGGGGCAACTCAGCCCTGGCTTCCAGGTAGGCACCATCAGGCCCTACCTCACAGGACTGCAGTAAAAAATGCCATGAATCAATATTTCTAAAGCTCTGGCACCAAACCCAGAACTCAGCCCTGTTGGTTTTACACCTCCATGCTGAAGAAGTTTCTAGTCAATCCTGAGACAAGGCTCCCCTGTCCCTCTTCCCTTCCAGCGTGCCTCTCTTCATCATTTCATACCATCTCTCTAAGCAGAGACAAGAATGTGTAGGATATTTATGCCTTGAGAATCATACTTCCCTTTTCCATTTTCCCCTTGCAGAGAGCCCCTGGGGGTTGCCCGTGGTGGCCGATGGCCCAGCTTCCTTAGCGAAGATGGTGATGGCAGAACTAGCCAACCTGAAGTTAGAAAACAAGCCATGGCCTGGAGGTAAGGGACTGCCCACCTGCTGACAAGGGGGCAAGATGGCAGAGGCCAGGAGCCCCCAGCAATGCAGGAGGGCACCTCCACAGTCTGGGAATCTGGTAGGCTGTCTTTGCCCTGCTGGTGGACACAGAGGCCAGACCCTCTGGAGGGTGCCCCAGGGGGCTTCTTCACTCCAGCTCTCTTTTTCCCATCCCCACCTCTCCATTCCAGATAGGAAAGGACGAAGGCTAAGCACATAATGTCTGCAGAGCCCTTTCTCCCTGCCTGTACTTCTTTATTAGCTCGCTGAACGCTCCAGCACTGTGGAACAGGTCAAGTAATTGCCCTCGCCTACCAATGAGGAAATCAAAGCCTGGAACTGTGGAACAGAGCCACACAGCTAGAGAGTGGCAATGCCACGTGGGTTGTAGGAAAGGGGTGGGGCACCTCCCCCCCCCCCACCAGTCAGAGAAAGAGGGAAGCTGTGTGGAAGAGGGCAGGACTGCCCCTTTCTTGTGGGGCTGGCGAACTGACCCAGTGACCAGGACACAGCAGTGACGGAAGAAAGGGGGTGCTGATGACATGCGGCCTGAGGCAGCGACGGGCATGTCACAGCATGTCACAGCATGAGCAGTTTCCTCTGGACACCTGCCATGTGGCCCCCACTTCCTCCTGCTGTGGTCTTACTGTGGCCGGCACTGACCCCAGGCTAGTAGGGGTGCTCCCCCTCAAAACTACAGAGGTAGCCTGATGATTCCTCAACTGCTTTTGCCGCACTCAGGGCTGGAGCCCCAGGCATGAGGATCCGTCTTGGATCCAGTTAGCTAGGAGGTTTTACCTAGTCCCAGCTCAGACTGTCCTCCTGGAGCAAAAAGACAGGTGTGGGCAGCCTGGGAGTGCCCCCAGCCCAGAGAGCAGGCCAGGCTCCCAGGACCATCTAGTAGGCAGAGTAGACAGCAGTGGGATTTTCAGGGAAGAAGGAATGGTAGCACCCTGACAGGGTCTGTGGGAGGCAGTAGCTGCAAGCCAGCTGAATGAGGGGGCCACAATCATGAACTTGTCCTTGAATTGTCCCCTGACTCCTGGTATGGGCCCCAGAAGCCAGGGTGTGGACCATGGGTGAAGTAGTCCAAAGCAGAGCAGATGCCAGAAACCAGAACCCCTCTGGCAGGGAGGGGTAGGCCAGAGACTGTATCCAGGCCATTCCAGGAACTATCTGGACAAGCCTAGGAAGGATTTGGGAGTCAACCCATTCTTTCCCCCTCGCTGCTAACACTTACAGCTCCTGAGTCACACCACCATTTTATTTTTCTCCCATGTTATTGCAAAAGCCTCAGAACACCAGAAGAATACTGCTGCCCCCAAGACCTTTCCACTAGCTTTCCCTTCTGCAGACCCAGAATGCTCTCTCCTAGACCTTTACATGGCTCCTTCAGGTCTTTATTCAGGAGTCTCCTTGGGGGTGGAGGGAGGCTTCCCTGTCCATTCTATCTAAAATTTTAAACCCATCCCTAACACGTTGTATGTCTCTGCTTTACTTTTTATTTTTTTTGGTCTCCTCAGAACTTACTCCTGGCCAGTCTATCATACATTTTATTCATTTATCTTGCTTATCCTGAATTCATGGGAGCTTCCTAAGAGCATGCACTTGGGGCCATTGTGCTTTCCCAACATCCCCAGGGCTTCTGAGAGGGCCAAATAAACAGCAGGTGCTCAGAAGGTACTTGCTGAGTGGGGCAACAGGGAGGGCCCTGCCTGGCCATATGGGCAAGGCTGGACAGAGCTGAGCCCATTGGAACCATGTCCAGGGAGGTGTCTGTGGAGGGCAAAGAGTGGGGAGATGCCGTGGGGAAAGGGCTGCTTATATGTGCCCCCACATAGTGTCAGCCCTTCGTGGGTTCACTAAAGGGCAGGTGCAGCCCAGGGGGCATCGTGAGAACCCGGGTGTGCTGTCTGGCCCTGCTTTTTGCTACTTGGCAGGCGACTTTGCATCTTTGGGGCTCAGTTTCCCCATTAGTCATAGATTGTCACAGCAGTACTTGTCCGATAAAATCGTTATGAGGGTTAACGGAGCCAAAATTTTGTGAAGTGCTTTAGAACTATTTTGTAACTTTACAAAATAATACATGGGTAGGCGTCCTCTCATTTTTAACCAGAAGTCACTGGCTGTTAAAGCAAGTTAACCGTCATAAATAGTCACATGATCTAGCAAGGAAATTGTCTATCTGTCCCAGAAGAACAACCAGATGCATGTTGCTCCCTTCCCTGCAGGCCTGAACTTGGCTCACTTGTCCTTTCCCACCTCCTCACACTGAGGGAGGAGCATATCAGCACCTCTGTGGCCTCTTTGCTTCAGTAGTGGGAACCCCAGGGTCCCTGCGCCCTCACTTGGCATCCCCATCTTGGAGGCAGCTTGAAAACTGGCACAGCTCTCAGAGGACGTCCTTCTTCCCAGACTGTGCATCCTTCTCTCTGTTCCAGGGTAGCAGGACCTCCAGGGTGCCTAGGTTTGAACTGTCCACCAAACTTACAAGATACAACAGACTGCGGCCTCATATTATGTGTATTTGTTTTCTATAGCTGCTATAACAAGGGGACCACAACTTTGTAGCTTAAGGACGACATATATTTATTTTCATAGAGTTATGGAAGTCAAAAGTCCAAAATGGGCTTCGCTGGGCTGAGACTAAGGTGCCGTGGGACAGCTCCCTACAGAGGCTCTCGGAAAGAACCCATTTCTTTGCCTTTTCCAGCTTCTAGAGCTGCATTCCTTGGCTCATTGCACCTTCCTGCCTCTTTCTCTGTTCCATCCTCACATCCCCTTCTGTGGTAGTCATAGAGTGTCCTTCTGTCCCCTTTCGTAAGGAAACATTCAGGGCCAGCCTAGACAATCCAGGATAATCTCCCCATCCTGGGATCCTTAATTTAATCACATCTATAGAATCCCTGTTACCCTATAAGGTAACATTCATACGTTCCAGGGATGTCTTAGGGGTCCAGAATTCAGCCTACCACACTGTGTGGCCTTAGTTGAGGAGGAGAGAGGACAGAAAGTACAACGTGCATGCTTCCCCATCACCCAGGAGGCAGCTACCCAAAGACACAATCTCTTTGCCCTCCCTCACACCCAGGACAGGCAGCTACTGCAGATTGGAGCCAAGGACCAGGTGGGTCACCTTAGCATAGAGAAGCCACAGTCTCTGTTCCTAGCAAAGCCTGTGTCCCTGCTCAAAGCTCCCAGCCCAGGAACACCCCACTAATCTTAACTCAGTGGTTCATAAGGAAACAGCACCCTGAGAGTCCGTCATTTCCCAGGAGGCCCACACCAGCCCAGGCCTGATGTCAGCCCTTCACTCCCTTTCAACGTTGATCCCTCTTGCCTCACATAAAGTTTCACCAGTACAAGAACAGAGCTCCTCATCCTCTTCCTAAGCTTAGAAAAAACGGGCTCTGGGGAGAGAATCCAGGCTTCTCTCTATCTAGTGCATGGCTTTGGGTACTGTACTCACCCTCCCCTGGGTCTCAGTTCCTTCCTCTGTGAAATGGGGCCAATCACACCAACGTCTTAGGTTCATAATAAGGATCAACTGTGATAGTGAATGAAAGAAAAGCAGTCAGACTGGTGCAGGACATAGAGCAGTCACTCTCCAAAAGTGACAGCTGTGATCATCATCGTTGCCATTCATGCTCTTGTTTTTTTTCCCTCTCAATAAAGGCAGGCAGTACCCACTGTGTGCCAAGCATGATGTTCTCCCCAAGACCCATGGAAACAGTGGTGACACAGTTAGATGTATTGCCTGCCCCCATGGAGCCCACAGTTTCACAGGGAATGCAGAGGCTGCACTGAGGGTTGGCAGGTGGAAGCAGGAGGGCTTCCTGGAGGAAGGGACACCTGAATTGCAAGCTGAGGGATGAGGGGCATTGGCCAAGAGAAGAGAGGGAGCATGGCTGGGACAGAAGGAACAGCAGGTACAAAGGGCCAGGGCAGAGTTTGCTGTGGCTGCAACGGAGCTTAAACAGTGTGGAGATTCCTCAAGGAATAAAAAATAGAGCTCCCCTATGACCCTGCAATTGCACTACTGGGCATTTACCCCAAAGATACAGATGTAGTGAAAAGAAGGGCCATCTGTACCCCAATGTTTATAGCAGCAATGGCCACGGTCGCCAAATTGTGGAAAGAACCAAGATGCCCTTCAGCAGACGAAGGGATAAGGAAGATGTGGTCCATATACACTATGGAGTATTATGCCTCCATCAGAAAGGATGAATACCCAACTTTTTTAGCAACATGGACGGGACTGGAAGAGATTATGCTGAGTGAAATAAGTCAAGCAGAGAGAGTCAATTATCATATGGTTTCACTTATTTGTGGAGCATAACAAATAACATGGAGGACAAGGGGAGTTAGAGAGGAGAAGGGAGTTGAGGGAAATTGGAAGGGGAGGTGAACCATGAGAGACTATGGACTCTGAAAAACAATCTGAGGGGTTGAAGGGGCGGGGGGGTGGGAGGTGGGAGGAAACAGGTGGTGGGTATTTGAGAGGGCACGGATTGCATGGAGCACTGGGTGTGGTGCAAAAACAATGAATACTGTTACGCTGAAAATAAATTTTAAAAATTAAAAAAAAAATTACTCAAAAAAAAAAAGAGAGAGCTATGAGGGAGGAGGTGTGCTTGACTCTTCCTTTCACATTTGAATATTCAAATATTGAGCATCTTTTATGTGCCAGAAGCTGTTCTAGGCTGGGAAAGAAGGATCCCTAGAGGAATCTCTGCCCCTGGGGAACTGACATTACAGGGGAGAGCCTATTAATAAGAGAAACAGGTAGGGATGCTGTGGTGGTTCAGGGTCTGTCTTTGGCTCAGGTCATGATCCCAGGGTCCTGGGATCGAATCCTGTATCAGGCTCTATGCTCACTGAGGAGTCTGCTTCTCCCTCTGTTTGCTGCTCCCCCTGCTTGTGCTCTGTTTCTCTCTCTGTCAAATAAATAAATAAAATTGGCAAAAAGAGAGAGAAAAAACAAGTCAAGTGTACATCCTCTATGTGGTGGTAATGCTCCAGAGAAAACACTAGGGGGGAGTGCTGGGAATGTAAATATTTAATAGAATGGGCAAGGAAGGCTTCACTGAGAAAAGTAGCATTTGAGCAAAACCTTTTAATTTTATTTATTTATTTGAGAGTGAGTGAGCACAAGCAGGGTGAGGGGCAGAAGCACACTCCTCGATGAGCAGGGAACCGGACATGGGGCTCAATCCTGAGACTCCTGGACTCTGGGATCAATACCTGAACTGAAGCTAAGACAATTAACCAACTGAGCCACCAAAGGGTCCTGAGCAAAACCTTCCTTAATGAAGTAAGGGGGAGGGCGCCTGGGTGGCTCAGTTGGTTAAGCATCTGCCTTCAGCTTGGGTCATGATCCTGGGATCGAGCCCCATGGCAAGCTCCCTGCTCAGCAGAGGGAGGACCTGCTTCTCCCTCTTTCTCTGCCTGCTGCTCTACTTGTGCTATCTCTCTGTCAAATAAATAAGTAAATAAAGTCTTTAAAAAAAAAAATGAAGTAAGGGAGGGGCCCCTGGGTGGCTCAGTCGGTAAGCATCAGACTCTTGATCTCAGCCCAGGTCTTGATCTCAGGGTCATGAGTTCAAACTCAATATTGCGGTGCACAGTTTTTTTTTTTAAAAAAAAAAAAAGGAAGGAAAAAAGAAAAAGATGTGAGTTATGGGTGAGTCTCTGGGAGTGAGCCCCTGAGAAAGGTGGGGTAAGTTTTTTAAATATACAGCACTTGTTTTTATAGCTTGAGTCAGGGTGAGCTGCTAAATCTCATCTCCAGCACCAAGGTGAATGGATAAGCTGGTGCTTCTAGAGATGGTGGAGAACAAACCTTGAGGCAGCATTTGGACTTAAAGAGATGAGTGGCAGTGTCTCCTGTGGGAATAGGAGGGAGTGGGGAATGCAGTCAAGATGCCACCAACTTGGCAGCAGTGGTTCAAGCTAGGAATTGTGGCCTCACTTTATCAGGAAGCTCTGGAGAATGAATAAATCCACAGAAATTAAGCTGCCAAACAACCAATTTTTTTATCATACCTTTGAAACTGTGAGATGGGAAACCAGACAATCACACTTACAGAGAAGAGTGTGAAATCAGTAAGTAAGTAAAGAGTAAGTAAGCCCTGAGTGAAGGCAGAGGGGCAGAAAACTTCCACAAGCCTAAAGTCCACAAGCCTTACCACATGAACTCTGGCCTCAATGTTTGACTGAATGATTGATTCTTTATTTAAACTATTTGACTACCCTTACTTTTTAACCGAAATCCCCAGTTCTTGCTCTTACTGATGGCAAATACCCTGGTTAGGTTTGCATGGCCATCCCCACCAGTCACATAGTCCTGCAGTGTGGCGTGGCACACTTGTGGCAGGGCACATGAGTCTGACTATCTTATGTCTTCACAGGGACTCACTCTCTCCACTACCATTACCTGGCCCTGTCAGAGCCGGGCCCAGACCTTCCCCAGTTTCTGGCTGTAGGCTACGTGGATGACCAGCCTTTCATCCATTATGACAGTCGTGTGGACAGGGCCAAGCCCCAGGCCCCGTGGATGGCAACTGTGGACGCCCAGTACTGGGAGACAGAGACTCAGAAGCAGAGGGCCTGGGCAAAGGTGCAGCAGGTGGAGACGTGGACCGTGATGGGCTACCACAACCAGAGCACTGGTGCGTCAGAGGCTCCCGCTGCCCCACCCCTTTCCTGCACACTCTTCAAGCTGACCCTCTGGGCAGCTGTGCCTTTCCATTAGTGGAGAGAGGCCGCCCCCCTGAGCCCATAAGAGGGTTCAAGGCATGGCCCTGATGCATAACTCTATCCCCACAGGCAAGCGGGGCCTCCCGGGGCTTCAGAATCTGTTGTGGCTTCTGCAGCCAGCCCATGTGGTCAGCAGAGCAAGCATCCACAGTAGCTTGTGCCCCACAATGCCTCCCCTTCGGCTACCTGGGGTTCCAGACTCCTGCAGACTGACAGAGGTTTCCCTCCCTCACACCCATGGCCAGGCTCTCAGACACCACCTCTACCATGCAGGGTGGGAAGCCACATGAACTTGAAGCAGGCAGACAGCACAGGGTGGGAGAGAGAACCTAGCTGAGGACCCCTGCTCTAAACCAGTGCCCGGGAGGAATTTAGGAGCGGTTCCCTCGGGCCACCCCCTCGGCAGGGACAAGCTCCCATCCCCTGCTGGCTGCTGCCAGTGCTGCCCCCTGCCCCAGGTGCCTGGAAACCCAGTCTTAGGTATAAAAGCCAGAGACTGGGAAGAACTACACAGTAGCCCAGGGGCCCAAGGATAAGCACCCCAGCCACTTTGCTAGCAGCTAGCCTCACATCCGAACCTGTCTTTCACATCTCTCAATTGGGTGTGACCCAGTCTTACCATGAGTATTTCTTGAGGACCTCTTCCAACCATAAGGAGCTGAGTTCTTCTGATGGCTCTAGCTATGAACCCAAGGGTTCTCCTGTAAGAGGCGCAAGAGGCTGCTCAGCACTGGCTGCTCATGACCGTTCCCAGGGGAGCCTTCTTTTTTAAATGCTGCCACCCTGCCCCTCACCCTTTAGAGGCACCCTCGGGTGCTGGGCTTCTCTCCGGCTCTCAGGGATCCAACCCCGTAGCGCATACAAACGGCAGCCTTCTCACCCATATGTGCAGGCATGCACAGCACCCAGCGGATGTTCGGCTGTGAGATCCGGGAGGACGGCCACACCCACAGCTTCTGGCAGTTTGGCTTCGATGGGCAGGACCACCTGTCACTGGACCTGGAGACTCTGAACTGGGTGTCGGCCAAACCTGCAGCCATGCGGACCAAGAGCTGGTGGGAGACAGAGCGCTGCTATGCTGAGTACGACAAGGCTTACCTGGAAGGCCTCTGCCTCGTTTCCCTGCGCAGGTACCTGGAGCTGGGCAGCCAGAGCCTCACCCGGAAAGGTGAGGTGCAGCCTGTGGCCACACCGCGGGGCCCACACTGCCGTGCTTGAGAGTCTGGAGGTGGAGGCGAGGAGGCAGACTGTGTTCCCCTGTCTCAGCTAAGCCCACTGAGCCCCAGAAAGAGGGCTGACTAGTCGAGGGCTTCCTCATGTAGAGCAGAACTCGATCTCGGGCCCTCATTCCAGGCGAGGTGGACCACACTGTGGTCTTGGTAAGTGAGGCCCTGACTCTAGGCCTCATGTTATTCACCCATAGAGTGAGTACGTTAAACCAGGCGACTCATAAAGCCCTCCAGGGGCTTAATGTCCTGTGGTTCTCCTTCAGAAATGGACCTCAGGCCCTAGGGGATAGCATTCCTCACTAGGCCAGTCCCTGGACTACCGGGGACTGCCAGGGAAGCTGAGGCCCTTTGCCCCTCTGCTCACACACACCCTTCATGCTAAACATGCTCCTCAGATCCTAGGTGTGTCCTATACTTCTCCTGACTCCATCCAGCAGGGCTGGAGGGATGGACTGGGATGAACACTAGGGAAGGCGGGTGCTTGGGGGTGCTGTGGCAGAAGCCTCGTCGGCTGCTGGTGGGTGGGGCTGGTCAGAGCATCCAGCACACCATGGATGTCTGGTGACTGAGCAGCACCATGTGAATCAGCTGAGGCAACAGGGAGGATGTTCCTTGAAGGGAAGGCAGGGCAAATAACATCAAGAGAAGATGTGATTATGAGAGCAGAGTGTGGTGGGTCCCAGCTCAGGCACTGGAACCTAGCGTCCAGAGCCACATCGTGGCTGGCTGTGTGACCCTGGGCGAGTCACTTGCCCTTTCTGTGCCTCAGTGTCCTCGTCAGTATTACAGGGATGGTGACAATAGCCTTGCCTCCCAGAAGCACCATACTGGTGTCTTACATGACTGTTGAGCGCTCTTCCAGTGCTCAGGGGATATCATCTACCTGTCACCAGGGGGACCAGGCAGGAATCTCCACAGACACAGAACCAAACAGGATGTGGAGAGAGAGAATTAAGGAATTGGCTCACGTGACCATGGAGGACCGGGAGTTCCAAGATCTGCAGCTGGCAAGCCAGAGACCCAGGAGAGCCAGTGTTTCAGTTTCAGTCCATAGACAGGAAAAGACTGATGTCCCAGCTGCAGGAGATCGGGCAGGAGATTAGACTTTCTGTCCTGTTTGGATCCTCAAGTGATTGGAAGGGGCCTCACTCATACTGGAGAGAACAGTCTGCTTTACTGCATCTACTGATTCAAATGGGCATCTCATCCAGAATAAGGATTGACCAAATGCCGAGGCACTGTGTGGCCCAGTAAATTTGACACATAAAATGAACCATCACACCTGCACGATGTCATTTGGAACAACCCTGAGAGAAAAGAACAAAGAATCAGGAATCCCCTTCAGGCCCTGAGAGCACGGGGGAGTGTGGACAGGAGTCAGGCTGGGCTTAATTCCAGGCTGACTCTGGAGCTACACTCACGACCACTTCCTTCCAAAGTGAGGGAAGGACCATCCTTGCCTTAACTCAGCCTCTTGTTAGGCACTTACCATGTGAAGGAGTCACGGGGATGCATGTAGTCTCTGAGAAAACCATAGGGTTTCTGTGAGACGAAGGGGGTTATCAACATAGGACCCAACAGCCCCACCCAGAACCTTCCCGGAGGTTGGGGACAGGAAGTCACATCCCCACTAAGGAATTCCCAGGATTGTGCCCCTTTGGGATGGCTGGCAGTAGGTCATCCCTTCCTCCAACACTGGTTGAATGCCTCCCCTGGAGAGAGACTTGGTCTCCAACTCCTCCCTGTCCTCCACCCTGGACGATGCCAGAGGACCCCAGAATCAAGCATGAGGAGGGGGCAGAGAGCAGCCTCTCACCGGCCTTTCTCCCTGGACCTCTCTCTGCAGAGCCGCCCACGGTGCAGGTGACAAGACACACAGCCCCGGATGGCGGCATCACGCTGAAATGCTGGGCCCGGGGCTTCTACCCACAGGACATCTCATTGAGCTGGTGGCTGGGTGAGGAGGAGCTGGTGCTAGAGACTGAGTATGTGGAGACACGCCCCAGTGGAGATGGCACCTACCAGACGTGGGCGGCTGTGCAGGTGCCAGCCAGGACGGAGTACCAGTACACTTGCCATGTGCAGCACTCTGGCCTGAACCACACACTCACTGTGACCTGGGGTGAGGAGCTGGACCTGGTGGAGGGGATGTGGAGGAGCGGGAGAGGGTGCCAGGGTCCCTAGAGATAGTCCCATGGCCTGAGGCTGTTGACCCCTCTTCTCTGCCTTCCTCAGAAGCACCCCCTCGTCAGTGGATAACCAGTGCTGTGGTTATCCCCATGTTGATCTTTCTCTTGCTGACGGCTGGAGTGCTGATCTTCATCAAGCAGTACTCTCAAGGTAGGTAGGAAGAAAAAAGGGTGGAATAAAAAAAGGTACCCTCACAGCCGACCAAGCCCCGTAAGGAGAAAGGCTCTGCGCCCATCCTTCCAGCAGAACGATTCCCTCTTGGGGAGCAGCAACTACAATTGAGCCATTGTCCCCCATCTGTGGAAGAGCCCAAGTACTCCCACCCTATAGCCATCCATCATCCTTGAGGACCCTGCGGATCCCGCAGCCAGGGAAAACCACTAGGCCTGACCTTGGAAGGGCCCCAGAGGGGGAGAAGGAATGGAAGGTAGGGAACGAGGACCGCCTCTGCCTACCACCCACCTGATCACTGGTTTTGTGTTCTTTTTCTCCCCACAGCCAGGAATCAGGAATCTTGCAAAGGAGCCCCAGGTGATTGTGGGATGGGGAGGGGGAGAGAGGAAGTCCCAGGTGCTCCCAAGCATGGCTACAATGCCTGAGAACCAAAGATGGAGGAAGGGTGGTGGGTGAGAGCTTTCTGTCTCCAGCATGGCCTCATCCCTCGCTCCCTCCCGCTGTCCAGGAGCCAGGTGGAGGGGACAGGGAGCCACCACTGGCTTTGGGGGAGGGCTGGGGAGCAAGCCAGGTCACCTCCCCACTTCCTCCCTGCAGGTGGAGAGGACCCTCCAGTGAGCCCAGTGAGAGTGGAGGCTGCTCAGCTGCTCTGCTGACACACATTCACAGGTCAAGGAGGTGTTTTGTGGAGTGTGTGGGGGCCTCCAGGGCTCTAGCTGGCTGGCCGCAGTGACCCCACTGTGAAGGGCCCACCCCACCCCAAAACGGAGCCCTCTGTGGAACCGTCAGCCTCACTCCAAGCAATCTGTGCCACTAAGATCACTTTCTTCATCTTCTTGAAGTCCTTTTCCAAGTCTGTCTCCTGTCCGAGGAGGGCAGGAGTAATTCCTTGGATGGGCTCTCACTGGACGGTTAGTAAGCAGAATGCTTTCCTGTTTTTTCGTTTTGTTTTTAAAGATTTTGTTTTAAAGATTTTATTTATTTGACAGAGAGACATCATAAGCAGGCAGAGAGGCAGGCAGGGAGACGGGGGAAGCAGGCTCCCCGCTGAGCAGAGAGCCTGATGCGGGGCTCGATCCCAGGACCCCGAGATCACGACCCGAGCCCAAGGCAGAGGCTCAACCCACTGAGCCACCCAGGTGCCCCAGAATGCTTTCCTGTTAAGTGTAAATCCCGCTTGAGTTTCTCGGGCTGTCTCTGAGTTGGGCAATGTGATTCTCACCGCCACTTCCCCAGCATGAAAACTGAGGCTCTGGGTAGTTAGGGAAGAAGCAGAACGCTGGTCCAGGAGTTAAGGGAGCAGCATCCTGACCCCACCTGCGGGCATCTGGATGCAATGGCCAAATGCCTGCCTCTGTGAAGTGTGTTCTTGTGTGAATGTGTATTTTCTTTTGTAAAGATGATTATTTTCTTTTGTAAAGATGATTAAAGATGATTAAACTGTGAGGGTGTGTGGTTGTGGGGGCATGAGTGGGAGGGGATCCATGATGTACATGCAGGTGTGTAGGTGGTGAGGGTGTATGAGGAGGGGTGTGGTGTGAGGGTGTGTGTTGGGGGGGTGTCTTTGTGTAGCTGAGGACAAGTGCAGAGGGACAGACAGCTGCCCAGGGGCCTGTTAGCCGAGGGCAGCTGGAGGATCGGAAACAATATGGTCAATATTTTCCATCCTGTCCTTTTGAATGGTTTGAAGTTTTACAATAAGGGACAGAGGAGTTCCACCTTGTCCCATGGAAATGCTTGTTGAGATTCTTGTTAAGGGTGTGTCTGGGGAAGGTTCAGCTCCGCCTCCAATGTTCAGTGGAGCAGAAACCCCGTGTCTCCTTTGTGAACAAGAATCTCCAGGGGAGCACACATTCTTGTTTATTCAGGAAGCAGTTCCGGTCTCTTCCACCTGATGTGCAGGGGGAGGGGACTCGAGAGCCACAGCACCGGGACCGCTGCACTGTCATAAAGGACACAAGGTTGGGCCCCCTCCACCTCTCTGGAGGACCCCAAGGTATAACAGACCCTCTTCTGGGACTTCTGAAACCTTCATGTCTGCTGCCCTGGGAGGCCCCAGGCCCAAGGATATTGAAGATCTGTGATACTTAGGAAAGATCCATCTGCCCTGGTGGCATGAAGGGCCTCAGCAGGGAGCTCTGAACCATCCGAATGTACAGAAATTGTTGTCTTACATGTCTGTCTGTCTGCCTGTCTCGTGATGCCATCCATGCGTACAAAGCAGGGTTCTGAGCACTTCACAGGTGCTAAGCTGTTCAATCCTCATGGCACGCCTGTGAGGGAAAATTAATAAATCCATGCTATAGGAGAGGAAAGGGAAGCTCAGGGTCCTATGGCTGAAATGGGCGTGTTTAAGTCCAGCTCTGCAATCCCTTATCTGCAGTTCTGAAATCCAAAACCCAAAGAAGTTTCCTCCTCGGCATCCAGACCCAACGTGCAGTGAAATGAGGCAATCTGTGGGCCAGTGTGGCCTTTTCACAGTTTTCCACTGATGTACTGATGTCTGATTACTGCGTGTCGTGCCAGACAACCTCTGGAGATGTTATGTGAGGCTCAGCATCTGTGCCTTGGCACTTTCTAAAACCCAAGGAATTCTGAATTCTTAAATATATCTGGCCTGAGGGGTTTCAGATAAGGGCTTGTGGACCTGTATTAATAAGGTTTTGTGGTAATAAAGGTTTTATTTTTACAGGTGTCTGACAGTATGGTAAAAAAAAAAAACTGGGGGTACAAAGTGGGTCTGGCCCCCACCTGTGGAAGGGCACACATGGTCTTTCCTGAAGCAGGATAAGGGCCCAGGGTATTAGTGGAGAAGCAGATGGTGGAGAGGCTGTCCCCCCCCACCTTTTCCTGAGTCCAACTAACCCTTCCTCTGCTAGAACAGTTCACGCCCCGGATAGAATCTGGTCTTCCTGCTGCCAAGGGCACCGCTATCCTGACCTTCAGGCAGTAACTGCTCTGAAACTGGATTATGAGATCTTGGAAACTGAGCTTCACTTTGGCTTTACTTTGTTCCCTAATTCCGTTATAGCCTAGTTCAGTGTTTTGCCCATGGAACCATAAAATACGTTCTAGACCTAAAGGGGCCCTTACACATCTCTACAAGCCCCTGACAATTTGACTCTCACTCCCACATGCCGCACACCATCACGCCCCCTCCCTCGGCCTCTCACGTTAGAGTTCCTTCGGTCCAGGATGTCTGCTCTCTCCAGCGCGCATCTCTCCCCCTCTCTCTCCTACCTTCCACCCCATACCCCAAGCATATATACTGGTTTCAGTTTGGTGCACCTGCAAAATTTGAGGCAAAGGAACACGATTCAGCCAGCACCCCCTGGCCAGGTAGGAGGTGAACCTGGGTGTCCTGAGTCTAATTTCACAGAGGGATTAACAGGCCCAGGAAGTATGGCAGTCTGCCCTAACCCAGGCCTTGCTCCCACCCCCATTTTTGCTTCTCTGCTTAGCAATGGCTGGTCAGTGATCTCAACCAAAGACAGGGGCCCTGGACCCACCTGGACCATCCCAGGTACCTGCCTGCCTCCGTGGTTCTTTCCTCAACACTCCAAGGAGAGAAGCTTGTGAGAGGGCAGAAGGCAGGCACAGAGGAACTTCATCTTAGCCTTGAGTGTCTCCCTAGGTGCCCCCTCAATAGTGACCACGGTCTTAGCAGTGGACAGAGGCAGAAGAGCAAGGGAGAAGGGCTCTGAGTACCCTTGGAAGCACTAAAGGGGCCTATAAACCTGGCAGGGGCAGGACAACAGCTTTGCAATCAATCAATCAACCAATCAATAAATACATAAATACATAAATAAATGCAGATCTGCAGGAAAAGCAGCCTTTCCAACCATCAGAACATTACCTCCACTTGCTGCTCCTGGGAACTGCTTCCCTCTCTCAGCCCACACTGTGCTGGTCTTGGCTCATGACATGGGATCTCCACCTACAGACCATGCCCTTGCTCACAGAGGCCAGGACATCTCCCCGGTGGAGGAATGCTACTAGCCTTCTAGTCCTCAGGCCACCCCAATGTACCCCTACACTCTACACAAACCTTACCTGCTAACCCTCCAGAGTCCAGTCCCAGACCACAACCTTTTTAGGTCACCAGATCTAGGGTAGAGTTCAGTGTGGCCTGGCAGGAGCTTACCTGTGATGATGTATCAAATGAAGGAAAGCATTGATAAGTAATTAACATTCAGTGAAGGATCTTAGATTCTATGCTCCCCAAATACAAGGCTTTTTTTTCCCAAAGATTATTTTATTGAGAGAATGAGCAGGAGGGCCAGAGGGAGAAAGTATTCAAAGCAGACCACACTGAGCATGGAGCCCAACTCAACCCCAAGATCACAACTTCTGCCAAAACCAAGAGTCAGAACTGTGCCACCCAGGTATCCCCAAATACAAGGCTTCCTTACAAGCTATCTCCAATGCAGCCTCAGTCCCTCCAAGTAACTGCACTGCTCCAATCCTAGAATGTGCTCCTGTGCTCCCCACAGCCTCCAGGAGCTGAGACATGCTCAAGCCACCTCCTGGAAGCCCTCCTAGCCACCCCTGCTTTGAGGTTCCACGATGCCCACAGCACATGTCTCTGGGCTATCCCCAGGGCATGTCCAGGCAGTCAGTGTCTGGCTGGCAACAGAGCCCAGCAGGAAGGCCCAGGCCCTGACTAGTTTTTTGTTTTTGTTTTTGTTTTTCCCCCCTCCTCTAACTTCCTGAAGAAGCTCACAGACCAGTAGACACAGGAGAGGACTGAAGACACAGGCTGTCTCATTGGTGTCTTTTTAGCCTCATCCCTATACCACTGCCACATAACTGAAGAGTAAGTTCCAGTATGGAGTCACACAGCAACACCTCAAGGCAAACAGCAGGAGAGAAGGGAGTCAGCCTGCCAGCTCCCCACGTCAAGGGGCTGACCCTCAGCCCAGGCTTCTCCAGGCCTGCTTGCTGGCTGTGCTGATGGAACCACCTGCTAGAGCAAGTCCGGGACAGGGAGAGACACAGAAAGCCAAAGCATTGCAGCGGGGATGGAGAGAAGTTGCGCCTGAGTTAAGGAAAAGGAAGGCTGTACGGTAATCCACTTCCCACTCAGGGCACCAACTCAGAGGGAAGGCAGGGTAGGTCTTTGCAACCACCTCCTTCCAGGCATTTGCCTGGGAAGTAACACAGCAGCCAGTGGGAGGGAGCTGGGGCGTGTCTGGGAAGGTTGGGAGGGAGAAGAACCCTGCCAGTTCCAGGGTGGGCCTTTCATCCAGGTTAGGCCCTTGCCTGACCAGGAATCAGATGGGCCTGGCTGGCGGGAGTGGCAGGTCCTTCTCAGGAGCTCTCTAGTGGATTCTGAAGCACACAGCCCCTCTGCTCTTCTCTGCCTGAGTACCAGGGGATAAGACACGGGGGAACCATCGTGGGTCCCCTGTCCAGCATCCAGCCTCTGTCCCCACCAGATGAGGGGCCTGGCACTCATCACCTTCAGTTCTAAAGGCTAGCTGGGCAGAAGGGAAGGAGGAGAAGTCCCCTTGAGAGAAATGAGCTTGGGGACAGGCTGAGCTTAAGGTCTCCCCTAAAATCTCTGATGATGAGAACATGCTGTTCTTTTTTTTTTTTTTTAAGATTTTATTTATTTATTTGACAGAGCACAAGTAGGCAGAGAGGCAGGCAGAGAGAGAGAGAGGA